GTCGTCACATGCCGCTCCTTTCGAGCAACAGCGAACGGAGTCGAAAAAGATCTGGCCGTCACTACGCTCCTGCTTCACTGCCGACACATTCGACTGATGAGTGGCACATTTCTCGTTGTGGGCCTGTCCACCTCGCGCGTAGCAAGGGTCCATCTTTCAAGTAAGAGTAGAGGTTTTCGTCAAACACACATTTCGTAATCGCCACCCTTTGAGTAACAAGGTGAAGTGTATTGGTGAGGTGGAATTGTGATTTTATCTTGAGGAAACCGCTCAAGATTCAATTTCTGCGATTCGATGGTGAGCTATTGGAGGTTTTCCTTTAGATTCTGCGGAACATCCAATTTATTTCCTGTGCCACTTTTACGCAAACGAATGGGTTCACCTATGGCCGGAATTCATTCCCTTGTAGTTTAGGCAAGAATCTTCCCGCCTACTATTGTTTCTTCGCACTTTTCAGCATTAACTGTTTTACCTTTTGAATATAGCACCTTGGGGCGGTGTTATATTCATGTCCTAAACATGAAATTACTTATTTTGCCAAGAGGGAGCAGAAGAGCAGGTGAGTCATCGCTCGCCGCGAGCCGCGTGGTCCCCCCCCCCAAATACGTTAGCACCGAAACAAGTAACTATCCATTGAAACGATACCTTCTAACGGAATTAACTGAATGCATTCAATTCGTTTACGTTTCAGGTTGTACATAGAGTCGGAAAAGGGACGTGATCTTCGCGAAAAAGGTTTTTAGTGGTTTGAGTGGGTGCTATGGGTTATTTCGATGGTATAGTTTGGAGCTTTCAAATTACACGAAAATCAGCATTTTACGGTCGTTCTTCTGAACTAGTATTGTGTTAGGGACTTTTTTTATTCCTCTTAATCCTCTAAAATAAATCCACTGTAAATATTGTAATTAATTTCACCCTGACATCTTCGATCTTTTATATCTGTGTCGATGTGTGATCTATCCTGATTCGGTTATGTACCTATAATTCATCATAATTAATTCGTTGATTAATCTTTCCGTGTTTGCATGCTGATTTCTTACCAGTCAGGGGTTAACTTTTAGCGATGTTGCAGTGTCGAACTAATCGTAACCATAACTCTATTCTCGCTCTTTCTGGTGCTTTGATCGTTTCCTTGCACAACTTTCTTTTTCTATTGCTGCTGCTGTCGATATCTCTGTTCTGCATTCATGTGCTGAATAATCACCACCGCCGCATCGAACTGGGAAAATATCATAGATTTTTCAGAGTTGTTGTAACGAAATTTTAGTCCACGAGAACTAATTCGCTATTTTCAGCTTGAGGATTCGGTGATTTCAGAATTTTCACCTCGAAATTGTATAATCGCTTTTAAGTTGGGTGTGCAGTTCCAAGTGTAGTGATTAGAGCTATATTGTACGTTAGATAGCGCGCTTGTGTTGAAGTAAATTCTTGAATTGCGATTGTTTAATGTTGGTACCCCTCACTGAAATGTTCAGATCACAGTACACTCCATACAGGGTACAGCATCGTGATGTGTGGAATGGTGGTCTCAGTACGCCCCCCCCCCCTTAAAGGAGGGTCTCGGTACAAACCCTCCGTTCCCCACACGTATCTACGCATTTTCCAGCTTTTCACCCAAAATTTCCCATCGAGCGGCAGGGCGGGGGGGGGTTGAGGGGGAGGTATATCGTACACATGTAACAGGGAAAATCACGCGAAAACTCAACAACCGGGGATATTTTTTTCCCAACGCGGCGAATTTCTTAAACCCACATACGACACGCCCTCTCCCAACAGCGATCAAATATGACACCCCAGCGTCCGATTTCCCCCCCCCTCCCCTGTCTCCATATCCTGAAGGCTGGCAGGGCGCTGCTTCCCTCGGTTAAGTGTAGCGGAGGCTACACTTTTGGATGTATCCCATGAAAAATGCTTTTTAAACGAAGTACGCAGATGCGCTCTTCTCATTTCTGGGATATTGAGTCTACATAACCGTCGTGTGGATCTCATCAGAGGGTCGTACTCACCACACTAACATTTTCCCCTTCTCCATACTAGACCGTAAAATTTTGAGAGCATTTGGGTGAGGTACTGTGGGATGGTGTGCAAAAGACCCTCCCTGTCGGAAGGCATACTGACGGCGGCGTAGCAAGGCTCCGGGTCAGGTTATCCGGCCAAAATGGGTTTCCTTTGCCGCCTGAGATCATTACCCTAATGCCATTGAACAACGGAAGGAACCGGGTGTTGCTTGTCTATGTACAGTTTCACCGTTTCGCTGACATTTACTCATTTGCATGTTCAGCGTTGTTTTCCTGTATGCGCTCAGAACCTGCTGTATTACTGTATAACACCAGGTATTACAACACGCGCACAAGAACACTGAAGAGAAGCAAAGCAGAAAACTCACGCGCACTGAAAACGATTTGGCGGTTCTGAGGCTTCGTTAGAGAACCTGCGAATTTTTATAGAAGAGAAATCACCATCCACGTGACCTGAAAGCTTCGAATCGGCGACAACGCTCGAACTGTGTGAAACGGAAACGTGCCTCATCCACCGACGTTGTGTGAAATTTGGTGTCAGTACGGGGAGTCGTGCAGGTCTCTCGATGGGTCAGGTCACCATAAACCCGAAGTATCGTTCTACTCAACTATATTTATCAAACTGCATTTCGACGAGTTTTCTGGACCAAACAAAATTCTTGGATGTGTAACTCATAAATGTCGAGACTTTATAGGTCTTTGAAAAGGTTATACGGCATTGTCGGAATGAGGAACCCTTAAAACCATTCAGAAGTCCTCTATACGTTCCCCATTCATATTGAAAGTAGACCG